AGCTCACGAACCACAGGCAGAGAATGATGGGGAGGTATTATATAGGGTGTTCCAAAATTCACGCAAGATTTGAATTTTGTGTGAGCATCAACAACAACAACAACAACAAATAAAATCCTAAGTTTACTTGGTTTGTTGAATCAGATTCTAATATCTGATGTTCTTTGATTTCAGTCCTTTCAATGTGCTAAGCATCACCAAGTACCAATTATGGCCCAGGAGCAGGGACAATGAAGACCAATGAAGACCACGGCATTGCGTATGTGCCAGCAAAGCTGTGGAGGCCATTTACCCGATGTGCTATTCCATACATAAGCCTATACTATATACTTTATGAACCAATAAAAAATTTACAATTTTCAATTATATTTTGGGACACCGTATAGCTACTAGATGAGATTGTACACCTTCCTGAGGGTCTTTCCTTCTCTCTCACCCCCTGGGAGTTAAGCTCAGGTTGGCAGCCATGGGACCAGCCCCTTTGTGGGTAACTCACCATTTGAAAGTCCTGTTCTCTATGCTAGCCTGGCTCTAAGACCTCTCTTCCTGCAGAGCCCAACTGTGCCGTTCTTATGAAAGCTGATATTTTTTTTTTAGATGATGCCAGCCCCTGTCCAAAGTTCATTGGTCCAGGGTTGAGCAATCATCCCTTATGAATTTTTAATCCAGACTGAGCTACCCACAATCCCTTTCTCAAGTGTGTGTGTGTGTGTGTGTGTTTGTGTTACCGAAGGGTGTAAAAGCTCTCTCTCTCTCTCTCTCTCTTCGGAGGAGGCCATGAAGTGCGCATCTGAGAACCTGTCGGGATTATGATTCCTGTCATGTGAGACCACTGCTCCGCACGAGAAAAGAAAACTGATGTGCAGATGCGGGGACTGAGGGCTGAGAGGACCTTGAACACCCTCCAGTTGCTGGTTCACAGTGTTCCTCAGACCCGTCTGCATCTCCACTCCTTTCCTGTTAATATCCTTTCCCGGATTCTGTGAGCCAAGGAGTTTTCCTGCCTGAGACCAGGTTTCAGTCACTTGAGACTGTGAGGATATTGACAAATATACACAACCATACTCAGGACCGATGAGGCTAATGCCACAGCACCTTCCCTCCTGGACTGGGGTCTAGCCTCAGGGCCCTCCCAGGACAGCGTGTGGGCACCTATTACCAGCATTGACCCATGAAACTGCTTTGCCACTCCAGCTCCCAACAAATGCCCTTAAAATGGGAGTGGAAGGGGCAGGAATAGAATGTTGGGGAACCAGCTAGTATTGTAAGAAATATTAATGCTGCTCTGTTGACCGTGATTGTTCTATTCTGATTAAAGAAGGCACATTCTAACCTGGCTGGCAGCTGCACTCAGGACCTGGGAGCTCACCTGGAAATGGAAAGATTAACTTTGCTGCAGAAACTAGAATCGACAGCCAGCCCTTTTGCATCCCTGCAGGCCTTTGCAAATCTCCAGCCTGCTTACCTGATAACTGCCCATCTGGCCCACCCTTGGGATATTTCCCCCTGTAACCCTCGCCCTTGCACAGCACTAAGCTGTTTGAAGACCCCCAGCCCTTTTACATATCTGTAAACTGCCCATTTGCCCTTTTGACTACTTTCCTTTGTACTTCTACTGATATAAACAGCTGGCTTATGGTGGGGGGCAGAGCAGATTTTTGTGGACAACCTGCTGTTCTCCCATATTGCCTGCAATCTCTATATATAAAAGGCTAATATGCAAAGTGTCCCCTCAGGTGTTCGACCAAGAGTTCAAACGCTCACTATGAGGTGCGCTGACCACCAGGGGGCAGTGTGGAACATGGTGGGTGATCAGCGGCAGCAGTGGCAGGGCACTGAGGGAACAAGGAAAGGAGGAGGTGGGGAGGTGGAGAGGTTGGGGGTGGGGAGAGGGGAGGGAGAACCAGGCAGTGGAGGAGGCGGGAAGGCAGGGACATGGCAGGCAACCAGTGGTGGTGGTGGGGTGCTGAGGGAGCTAGGGGAGGAGGTGGTGGGGAGACAGGGTGATGGGGAGGCGGGGAACTTGTTCAATGGCCACCCAGGCCTAGGGACCCTGCCTTTGCATGGATTTCATGCACCAGGCCTCTAGTTTTGAAATAAATGCCCATATATGATTCAAGCTTGTCTCTGCTTAATTGGCTTGAGTAGTGACAGACAGCAAGAGCCCATTGTTTGTCTGGTTACAGAAGCAAAACCCTGTTTTCTTAGGGTCATTCTTGAAGTTTGAGTGTAAAAAGTGGCTTAAGCTAGAATTATCTTTCCATGAGAATGTTGACTGAGGGAAGGTGGCCTCACAAACAGCTTGGAGGTTCAAGCACGTCATCACTGCAAACAGGGAAGCCTCTCCCCTGGTTTCAGCAGTCAGATGCTACTGCTTGACCAGAGACCCTCAGAGTAGACCAATAAAACTTGACTCAGCTTACTTTCAGGTCCTTTTTAAAAATATTTTTTTATTGATTTCAGAGAGGAAGGGCAGGGGGAGAGAGATAGAAATATCAATGATGAGAGAGAATCACTGATCGGCTGCCTCCTGCACACCCCACACTGGGAATCGAGCCCGCAATCCGGGAATTGAACCATGAGCTCTGGGTCATAGGCCAATGCTCAACCACTGAGCCACACCGGCTGGCTCAGGTCCTTTTGACCCATAATAACCTAATCTCAATTAATTTTTATGCTGCCCCCAGAGCCCTGCTCTGCATTCCCAGTAAGAAAACCATAGCTAAATATGTGATTGGATTACTGTCTGAAGAAAAGAGTACAGACACAGGAGAAGTTCACCCCTTAGAGTTTGCTTGTCAGCATGGTCCTTAGGCCACATGAACTACAATAAGCCCCTTCCTTTTTAGTGCCTGTCAACTAACAGTACTATCTTTTGTTTTGTCTGAGCACCTTTGGGGAAGAAAGGCCCTGAGGTATCAGCTGATCCAGACCTGGCCCTCAAACACATTTCCTTTGGAGAAAAAATTATCTGCTCCATTTTTTGGTGTTTTGTTTTTGTTTGTTTGTTTGTTGTTAATCCTCACCCGAGGATATTTTTCCCATTGATTTTTCAGAGAGAGGGGAAGGGAGGGAGAGAGACAGGGAAAGAAAAACATCGATGTGAGAGACACCTCGATTGGTTGCCGTTCTCCTCCCCCCTCCCCAGCTCCCAACACCCCTTCAGTCTGAAGGCTGGCGCTCTAACCACTGAGAAAAACGGATTAGGGTTCTGCTCTATTTAAATGGGACGTTCTCCAACTTTGCAGGGTTCCCACCACTCCTTACTTTGCCACACCTCCTTGTTTCTGTACTTACTGTTCAGCCTCTGTTGACATTTGAGCTTAAAAACCCGGATCTAAGTCAACACCCCCAGAGGAATTTCTCCAGGTTGCAAAGCAAGTTTAGTAGCAGAGCTGGTCCGAGAAGCCCATTTCCCCTGCTATTATTTCCAACATGTACCTCCCTCCACCAGCACCAACTGGTTTAGAGCAAGAATACCAGACTCCGTGGCTATTTTCATACACAGACCTCAGAAGATCCCTTAAAATACCCGAGGACAGTTCTAAGCACCCCTTAAACCAAAGGGAGTGAAACAACAAAGAAATTAATTAATCCTCAGAATCAGACTGTACTCAGAGGAAGAACCTTTTGTTGTTGTTTTTAGTCCTCACCCAAGGAGACTTTTCTATTTAGTTAATTAGTTTATCCTCACCTGAGGATATTTTCCATTGCTTTTCAGAGAGAGTGGAAAGGGGGGGAAGGCAGAGGAGAGAGAGACGAGAGAGAGAGAGAGAGAGCGAGAGAGAGAGAGAAACATTGATGTGAGAGACATACATGGATTGGTTGCCTTCTGCATGCAATTGGGGCACAGGATGGAACCTGCAACCCAACTACTTGCCCTGACCATAATTGAACCCAGGACCCTTCCATGTGCAGGCCAATGCTCTAACCCCGTAGTTGGAAAAATCATTAGTCAACAGAGCCAAATATCAACAGAACAACGATTGGAATTTCTTTTGAGAGCCACATTTTTTAAACATAAACTATATAGGTAGGTACATTGTTATTAACTTAATTGGGGTACTCCTAAGGCTTAGGAAGAGCCACACTCAAGGGGCTAAAGAGTCACACATGGCTCGCGAGCTGCAGTTTGCCAACCACTGCCTTAGAGTGTCAATTTTAAAAAATGACAACAGCCAACACAACAGTAGGCAGCCAGTGTGCATGAATAAAAATAATATCTATTTTTGGTCAGAGTGGCAAAAAATATATCATATTTTTGGTGTGCCACAGAGTGTGGGGAAGCATGGGACTTGGTTGGGAAGTCTGTAAGGAGGATTCTCCAAAAGGTCAGAGGCCTCTAGGGGGACCTTGCCAAAGGCAGCAGACCCTGCCTTGACTTTTCCAAACAAGGGTGTTTTGCTGGAATCTTTATGTTATTCTTTACATGCCCTTGCTTAAAGGACACTACAGACACATGTGCCTTCTCAAGGATACTTACCCTGCTGATAGTATCTAATAGTTAATTTTAGTTCACCCTTGTTGGAATAAAAGCCTAAAGAGGCAGGCGAATGGGACTGTCTGGTTCCTTTAGCCAGGCAGTCCCTTAGCCTTCTCTTTCACAGTAATCATGTGTCAGAGTAATCATTCATCCATCACCCAGGGTCTGCTGGTCAGCCCTGGCACCAGAGTTATAGTAATCAGTTTATGTGTGCCATGGGATAAAAATGATTGAAAATTACTGATCTAAGCACATCCTATAAAATAGTTTTAAAGAACAATCATGTGAGTCTTGCTGACATGGCCCAGTGGTTAAGTGTTGACCAGGAGATTGAAGTTCAATTCCTGGTCAGGGCACATGCCCAGGTTGTGGGCTTGATCCCCAGTGTGGGGTGTGCATTAGGCAGCCGATCAATGATT